TCACACACACACACACACACATATGTGTGCCTGTCTCCACATCTCCTCCATTAAATCCCCACACACTACTATCACCCCACACACACACACACACACTCACCTGCACACAAGTACCTGCCAGCTACCAATTAATATGCGTTATATAATCCCTGTTGCTCTGTCTTCACCTCCATATTTTCCCTGTTTCTAAGATTTGGGGAAGAGAAATGTCAAGACTGACGTAGAGAGAGAGAGAGAGAGAGAGAGAGAGAGAGAAGTTCCATTCTTTCATTCCGAAATGTTAGATGTTTCTAAGATTCCTCAGATATATTACTCGTATCTGAGAATCTTAAGAACATCTCTTTTACCGAGGAAGATAAGACTCTCTCTCTCTCTCTCACGTCAGTCTTATTCTATTTTCTTCCCCAAATCTTAAGAAACAGAGGAAAATATGGAGGTGAAGACAGAGGCAACAGAGAGTTATATAACGCATATTAATTAGTGGCTGACAGGTACTTGTGTGTGCAGGTGAGTGTGTGTGTGTGTGTGGTGGGGGTGATAGTAGTGTGGGGATTTGTGGAGGAGTGTAGGAGACAGGCACATGTGTGTGTGAGTGTGTGTGTGTGGGGGGTGTACTACCACATACAGCTGAGAGAGAGAGAGAGAGAGAGAGAGAGAGAGAGAGAGAGAGAGAGAGAGAGAGAGGGAGGAGAGAGAGAGGATGATCAGGTAGGTAGGTCTGTGTTTACGTCATCAGCTGATCATTACTCGAGGCTGGCCACAAGAGGGACAGTTGATGTCTCCTGAGGCCCCGTGTGTATGTTGCTTCTCTGTCTCATTGGGTGTGCGAGCTGATCGGTGCTGGTATCAGGGTTGTGGTAGTGGTGATGGTGGTGATTGGTATGGGTAGTGGTAATGGTGGTGGTTATGGTATAAGTAATGGTGGTGGTGTGGTAGCAATGGTGGTAGGTGGTAGTAGTGGTATGATGGTGGTGATTATGGTAGTAGTAATGGTGGTTATGGTAGTAGTAATGATGGTGGTGATTGTGGTAGTAGTAATGGTGGTTATGGTAGTAATGATGGTAGCAGTAGTAATGATGGTGATAGTGGTAGTAGTGGTAATGATGGTGGTGTTGGTAGTAGCGGTACGATGGTGGTGTTGGTAGTAGTGGTATGATGGTGTGTTGGTAGAGTGTAACGATGGTGATGGTGGTAGTAGTAGTAATGATGGTATGGTAGTAGTAGTGGTAATGATGATGGTTATGGTAGTAGTAGTGGTAATGATGGTGGTTATGGCAGTAGTAGTGGTAATACGGTGGTTATGGTAGTGAACAGCAACGCCTCACAAGGATTCAGCATCCCCGGCATTGATTGTGTTCAAACTGACCACACACCCTTGTGAGTCTCTCACCACCATTACCACCACTACCACCACCACACCACCAACACACACACACACACTACCACCACCACACACTACCACCACTAACACCACACACACTACCACCACACCACCACCACACACCACCACCACTACCACCACACACCACCACCACTACCACCACACACCACCACCACTACCACCACACACTAACACCACCACCACACACCACCACCACTACCACCCACACACACTACCACCACTACCACCACACACACACCACCACCACTACCACACCACCACACACAATACCACCACTACAACACAACACTACCACACTACCACCAAAACACTACTACCACACTACCACCAACACACTCTCGCATGTTACCTTAACTAATCAAAGGCTACACTGGTTCCGTTCACTTCCCTGTATTTCAAGATTCGATCATTAAGATTCGACAAGAACCCACGAGACCCGCCCCTTATTGACAAACTCGCGCCCCTCTCAACCGCGTGAGAGAGAGAGAGAGAGAGAGAGAGAGAGAGAGAGAGAGAGGCTACCAATTTTTCACCAATTTCACACTTGGTTCTTCATTGTTTCCTTCTTTTTTATTCCTTTCATTGTCTTGTTCTTCTTCTTCTTTGTTCTCATTGTTTCGTCTTCACCACTTTTCTCTTCTTTCTACATTGTTATCCGAGTTCAAAATTTATCTCGTCTCATCTCTCTAAGATAACTAATTACCCTTCCATTTTATCTCAGACACTATCTCGTATATCGCCTCAACAAGGTCATTACATCTCTTATTTAACAGCTAATGACGTCGTTAAATAGTTCCTAATACGTTGTTAGTCATTTACATTGTTCTAGTTATGTGGTA